TTTTTCTCTTTGTCTTTCTTTTTCTTCTTTTCTTTCTCTTTCTTTCTCTTTTTCTCTTTCTTTCTCGTCCTTTTATCTGCCTTTCTTTCTTTCTTTATATTTATCTTTCTTTTCTCTTTCTTTCTACTTCTTATTTTTCCTTTTTTCTTCCTTTCTTTCCTCTTATTTCTCTTTCTTTCTTTCTCTATTCTCTCCTTTTCTTTTCTTTCCTTTCTCTTTCTTTTCTCTTTCTTTCTCTTTCTTTCTTTTTCTTTTCTCTCCCATCCTTTATCTTCCTTTTCTTTCTCTTTTCTCTTTCTTTTCTCTTTCTTTCCTTTTCTTTCTCTTTCTTTTATCTTTCTTTCTTTTTCCTTCAATTTCTTTTCTCTTCCTTTATTTCCTTTTCTTTCTTTTCTCTTTCTTTCTTTTTCTTTTCTCTTCCTTCTTTTCTCTTTCTTTCTCTTTTCTCTTCCTTTCTTTCCTTTTCTTTCTCTTTCTTTTCTCTTTCTTTCTCTTTTCTCTTCCTTTTTTCCCTTTCTTTCTCTTTCTTTCTCTTTCTTTCTTTTTATTTTCTCTCCTTTCCTTTTCATTCCTTTCTATTTCTTTTTCTTTCTTTTTTTCTTTCTTTCTTTCTTTCTTTTTCTCTTTTCTACTTCTTTTCTTTTTTCTTATTTTTCTTTCTTTTATCACAGCCTGTTTTTATCTCTGAACGGCTGAATTATTTCAGCATTTCACATCGACCGCGGTAACTGGTTAGGAAAATATCGAATGTTCTTTTTCAATACTCATACTCCCCCAATACTTTAAAAATTGACGCTACATAATCTTACTATTTCTCATCGCCTTATGCTTATCTGGTTCTACACAAAGTTAATCATAATCATAAACATCTGTATCTTCATTAGTCTACATGATAAACTGCATTTAGATCTGAAATGTTCTTTGTATAATGTTTGATTTTTTGATAAATGTCTTAAGTTCATTGAAAAAGAAAGAGATTTGGTGAAAAATAAATAGTACACCCTTGAAACAACCGCTTTAGTTTCCTTTCTTTCACCATACGGTTAGTTTTAGACCCATTGGAGTGACAGGGTGTAATCGATTTCCATTTTACTTCAGAATAGGTCATTTGCAGTGGTTTGCAGTAATATGAATCAATTTTCGGGGTATATGATGAAATTTGTTAAGGCCCTGAAAAATATTGCCTCATCCGTGGTTGTATCAGATTTTTATCAGGTCCAGACACTATTGTCTTAACTGTCGATTAGTTGTCCTACAGCCATTCTAAGCGATGGACGTTATTCCAAAGAAGCGTACAAACAGTGAGTAAATCAATATTGCGTCATCCGTGTTTACATCAGATTTCATCACGCTCAAACACTATTGTCTCGACTGTCAATTAGTTGTACTACGGCCATTGCCTGCCATGGACGTTACTCGAAGGAAGCGTACAAAAATTGCAACGCTGCATGAACACACTAGAAAGCCTTACCAGTGAGCAAATCAAACTATTATAGACTGGCTCGGAAACTCTCCTGATTTAAATTCAATCGAGATTCTAGGTCAATCTTTAAGGAACGATTTCGTGGAATAGACATACAAAGTACTAACATGTGCACTGGGTCAGGTTTCATTGGAAAAAAGACGCAAAAAGTAATTACTAGCGGAATTCTTCGTTTTGTCTCGATTAATTTGCACAAGGATGCAAAATAAATGCTTTTTCCACATATGTGTGCGTGCTTAGATTAGTAATATCTACTTTTCTACATTTCTAATATATATTTATTCAGTCCTTTTATACTAAATGTATTTTTATAAAAGTATTTTCCGCGTAAGCATATACGTATCTATTTATCTGTCAACCAAAACCTATCTATCAATTTATTTAGATATTCTGCAAACAGTCCTTAAAGAATATACATACACAAATAATTTCCACAATTTCCCTTACATTTGGCACAAAACGGCATGGGAAGATTTTGCATCAATCTAATAAAAAAAATAACAATAAATAAATATTCAATGACAGTCAATGTTCGTTGAGGCATGTTGTGTCTTTCATTGCATTTCTTCATGCAATGCGGCTGACTTTGGCGATGTACATCTCGACTTCAAATAACATACGGCAAATTAGACCGGGTTTATGAAATATTAAGTATCTTGACCGGATATAATATAAAGCGTGTAGCATTTTTTTCAAACCTCCCCTTTATGTCGTCACAAAAACAAACATTGATCCATATTAAGCCGAAGTGTTCATTTTATCATCATGGCGTGTCGGAAATCAAGATATCTGGTGGCACGGTCATATTTCAATAATCCGTTAAGTTGATTTATGGATGGCTGACAAAGATTTCGCCTTTTAGATAACTCCCTCCCTTGTGTGTCTTTAAGTTTTCCAAGATATTTTTTTATAAATATCTAGATAAAGACAAGCCGATGTATAGATAGATAAATATATAATGAATAAACTAACATACATAGATAGATATGAATAAACTGATAGATAGATAGATAGATAGATAGATAGATAGATAGATAGATAGATAGATAGATAGGGAGATAGGGAGATAGAGAGGTAGAGAGATATGAATAAAGTGAGATGGATACATAGCAATGAATAGAATGAGATAGATAGATAGATAGATAGATAGATAGATAGATAGCTTATCAACCTTTTGCAGAATTTTTTAGATAAAAATGATTTATTGATACAACTTCAATTAACCCATAGGTGGGGGAGAAGCTATGGATTCATACCTTTCCCAAGTGTAAGTAAATATAACGAAATCGACTGCAATTGGAACTCGGCTCCCCGATTTCCAATTCCGAGCCGTTTTCCGTTACACCACCTGCACATCCAGGCTTACAGCAATTGCTATTCCCATCTACCTATCCAGGTATTGACCAGGCTCGATTCAAAATCCGACCACACCGTTTTATGTCTGGTACCGTGACATTAGGAGCTCACTCATTTTTCCCGACCAGCCAATCACATTTTAGATATCAAAGTAGAATAGACAGCGACAAAAACGCTCTGGCGTGGACACATCTATTGGCTAATTCATTCGTCAACAATGCCAAGCTTGGCAAAGTCCGGCTTAGTATTTCAATGCGATTTTAAATGGTGGCCTGGCCTAGCCCGGTATGATGTGACTTGGCATGATATGGCCTGGTCCAGCCTGGTCTGACTTAGTCTGTCATAATGGACAACCATCAGTGATCCAGCCTGGTTAAAATGACTCCGAAAGAGGCTTTTAAAAAGAAAAATGTAGTTCTTCAAAATCTTTGCAAATCCAATAGCTAACATTTGGTCTTATTTGAATTTAATCTCATCAGAAAACATATTTTCCTAGCTAACAAATATACACTCTTTTATTTCTATATATATATATTTATCCTGTAGTCAGATCTTTATTTGCTACTTGGTACTATGTAATCCATTATTCTTTGCCCCATGACCCGTTTATTGACAACGAAACTGTCTCTCCTACCAGGTTGTCTTTTTACCCTTTGCAATCAAAGCCTGGTAGTGTGTTTAATGCTTATGTAATCAAATAATATATTACCAGTGATAGATTTTTGTATGAAGAAACAAAATTACTCAAGATCGCAAGTAAATTAAATTTCGGCATTAAATGACCCATCTAGGTGTTGGTATACCGTTAAACAAAGCTCATCAAAATTAGCACGATGATTCAGTTGGACTTCATAGATTATTTCTGTTATAAATCAGATACGATTATAAAGCAAAATCAATATTTTATCAAAAAAAAGTTGGCTTGATTTGATTTATGAAATACAAGTGGAATTAAAAAGAACAAAAATAACGGTATGCGCCTCGGGTAGAAGAATGATAATGATTCATCACAGAATTTATGACATCATTGATTTGAGTCATACAAAACTCCCTCCCCTCCATATATATATATATATATATATATATATATATATATATATATATAAATGAAGATATGCTTCATATATATATATATATATATATAATATATATAAGCCTATATATATATATATATATATATATATATATATATATACACACTGTATTTCCTGTACCACTGTATTTCCCGGATGTAAAGACAAATTCTCGGTTATTGGATGATGGTGACCATGTCATCAGTTTTTAGCGGAACCGGAAACACCTATGATGGTCACATTGACAGTGACTAAGAAAGAAAGAAAGAAAGAAAGAAAGAGAGAAAGAAAAAAAGAATGAAAGAAAGAAAGAAAGAAAGAAAGAAAGAAAGAAAGAAAGAAAGAAATTGTTCGCCTGTCTATAGATTAAAATCCCTTGGGTACCTGTGTGACGGTCAAAGCTCTTCTCTTTCGTATTTGCAATACTGGAAAGTACCAAACTCTTTCATATAATTCTACGTTTGCCACCTTGGTCTATTCAAATTGAACAAGAAAATTGGATAAACCTTTAATTATAAACATTTATAAAATAGTGTTTCAATAATGTTTACACATTTGACACATTAAAAATTCATTAAATATAATCTATTTATATTTTTTTCGTGATTCTGATCTTTCAGGATTTTAAATTTCGGGATTTTGATTTTTCAGGATTTTAAATTTCGGGATTTTGATCTTTCGGAATTTTGATTTTTCAGGATTTTAAATTTCGGGATTTTGATCTTTCGGAATTTTAAATTTCGGGATTTTGATCCGTCGAGATTTTGATACATTCAAGATTTCAAATTTCAGAATTTTATATTTCAGGCTATCGACATTCTGGATTTTAAGATGCGAGATTATAACCCCAACACTTTAATTAGTATTAAGTCATTATTATCGCAAAAAATTTCTTACAATCTAAAAATATTTTCTAGCTTTAAAATGGCCGGTAAAAGGTTAATATGCCGTAAAAAACAAATCTTGCTAAAACGGTTCGGCTAATCTGGGTATTTGTGTGTGTGTGTTTTTGAGTGAACAATGAATGTCAAAATAGAGGAGGGGGTCCCATTCGTTTAGGTAGAATCTACAGTGATACTCTTTTTACGGTTGAAACAATTCTTGGAATGATAATGACTGATCTCAAAATTATAGAATGTAATTAAAACAACATTCTACAAATACCGTTTCTTTGTTATAAAAATTTGCTCAGTTAACACCATTTTTACTTGGCTTATCTCTTCTCAAATTCCACCTGGTGAATTTCTTTTAAAAGACGTTTTTCTTTCTTTTTCTTTTTTTTTTTTTTTTTTTTCACCAGAAAGTATGGTGGTTAGATTTTATGTTTGTTTTCACTTCAAGTAGTAACTTCCGATGACGTCAGAAAAATCACCGGGTAATTATTGACTTCACCGAATTTAATCATCAGTAAACCTGCTCACTTCTTAAATGTTAAACTACAAAGAAATATGCTGTATGTTCCAGATTAATGAAACTTTGATAAAAAATATATATTCTTTTTTTAAATATAAAAATTCTTTTGATGCTGTTTATTTTCTGTCTTGAAATGATTTCAGCAAACAATCGGCAGCATCTAGCTTCACTAATATTCCACAGAGTTTGATATTTTGTTTCTCTGAATAGAAAAGGTTAACATTCTTTCAGTGTTTTGAACACTTTGCTGTCGTCGCGTACGGGTATTTTTAGACCTTTCCTAAATTGGCACCTCCAGTTGTTGCATAATTAATAATTCCTCACAGAAGAATAGTCACTTGACAGCTGCATATTGGTTCGTGTGTCTACGCGTTCGTTAAAAAAAATGATGCCTATAAAACTAACCGAATAAAGGGTCTCCACATCAGAAGCAATTTTTGGTAAACGAATCTCTTTTTTTTTTCCTTTATGTGCTGTGTCACTACAGGACTTGAACGATCTTTGCTCTCCACAACTTACTCTCCACTTCAGACACATATCTACAAATCGCCATCGTTAGAAACAAAGAAAGTGCTCAACTGCTCTTTATTACCATTATGGCTGTGGCAATTTCTTCAGGGAAGAATACTCAGAATGCTATGGAATGGTTGTATAAGTAATGGGGGCGTGTGTTTGAGGGAAAATGAAAACACAAAATACACAGTGTAAAAAAGAAAAAGTTGTACTTTCTGGAAAAGGCAACGAAGAAGGAGAATCTGACAGCCAAAGGACATATTGAAACAAAACAGACAAAGCTGATGTAAATGAATGGCAGAATTGGGAGTGAGAAGGATGGTAAAATATTGCAAAGAGTTTTTTTTTTATCATTTCACCCCAAGTGGGGCGAGAATACCACAAATACTTAAATGATTACAGGGAGTGAAAATGAAGTCTGAAAATAGGAGGTTAGAGAAAATAACAAAAGATGAACGGGATTCAAGAAGACAGACGATGGCGATTGACATTTCATTTAAATTTTTGAAGATTATAGTTATCAGAGGCACGGTGAAGTAATGGATCGCGGCTCGTATTGAGGAACTGGATTAAGGAATTGAACTGAGAGCCGAGTTCGAATCCCAGTCAAATCAATTACATTCATTTACGATTGAAGAGCCACAAGCTTAAACATGCCCTGTCTACTAGCAGCGGCGGGAGCCTTTCTGCTGTTTGCTAGTATGTCATTGCCATACAATCAAAATACGAAGCAGGTGAAATTTCTGGGACACGTGATGAGAAAGGAGGGCCTAGAGAATCTAATACTCATGGGACTTATAGAGGGGGGAAATAGACAAGGGAAGGCAGCGAATGGCATACGGGGGGGCATGGGCAAGGGGGTGGGCGGGGCGTGGTCTGGGGAGGGGCAGAAATACAAAATCTGTTGAGAGCCACAAGGGATAGGGGGAAGTGGAGGGCCATGATCGCCTACGTCCTGAAAGGACACGGCACATAAAAAGTTAAAAAGAAAAGATTAATGTCAACAACATGCGGCGCCATTATGTGAAGGACGTATCGTATATGTGTTGTTGTATGAGAATGACTTTTTTTTTTTTTAGAAATTTCTTTCCAATATTAGGTAGTGTCTTCCAAGTCCTGAGACATCGGTTGGTAAATGTTTAAAGTTTGTGGGTGTTGGTCTTGGTTACCCGTCATGTTTCTGAGCCGTAAAGTAGGAACAACTTGACGTTGGTGTTGATGATCCGAATCTTGTTATAAAGTGTTGGTTGTTGATCTCCAGATTGGCCGCAGATTGGAGCTTTTCTGGTCCTGTCTCACAGTTGGTCGTTGGAGATGACTTCCGGTCACCTGATACTGAGGATGTTCCTGAGAGATACCTGCATTTAATATCCATATTTTCTGAAAATGCTTAAATTTCGTTTTCTCTCAACCAATTCCTTTCACAAGATATCTTTAATCTTTGATTAGATTCGAGATGTGTGTGTGTGTGTGTTTGTATGTGTGATTTGCTCTTATTAATTCAATCTTATTGGTAATATTAAAACAAATGAATATCAAATACCTCTCTCTTTCCAAATAGGACCATCTCGAATGCAGGGTTAAGTTTCATTTGTAATCATTCAATAAACGAAAGCATATGAATCCACTTACCTGAAAATAGAAGAAAGAAAAAATGGTCATCTTAATATTACATTTAGTTACATAAGTTTCATATGAAAAAAATTCTATTCACTGACACTTATACATTTTAAATGTCGACGTTATACAGAGAACAGTTTGCAAGCGGCTAAAGAAGTTCTGTGGATATATAAAAATTGGAAGCTGTGTGCCATGAAAATGTTTTCTCTCACTGGATTTAACTCCAGCATCGAGATTATTTTTAGGAGGAATCGAACAGATTAGAATTTACTATTGAGGAATTTAACGTTAACAGCATACACTATATAAAGTACACTGTACTGATAACAAATTCAGAAGAAAAACTGAAAGAACTATGAAATAAATGTAAGAAATTATTAATTCCTAAGAATACTGAATGATTTTTTATTTATTTATTTTTTGTGTTAAAGGCTGTTGTGAATGACGTGATCTGAATATAAAATGCAAACGTGCGGAAATTTAACTGTCTGTGTAGTTCAGTAAGTGTTGTAACCTAGGGAAGGTTACTGAATAGAATAGTCAAACGAAGGTTGGTAATGAACGATAATACTTAGGACAAGAACAACGCGTATAAGATTCGCCAGCGGCGCGTAGAAAAAGTAGCCAATGGCTAGAAGTGAGTCATGTGAATTCCACAATGAAACTTTCAGACCAACATACAGTATTCACTACTGTATTTATGGGAATGGGGGCATACCCATTATCGTCCGCAGATATGCTGTAACGTAAGTGAAGACAGAAAATGTGACACAGAATTCGGAAGGCTCATATAAATAGCGAAAAATGCCGCCCAGAAACTAAGCTAAGTATTAAGGAATCGGAAACAAAGAAAATATTGCTGGACTGTGACGCAATATCGAATCACTTGTACGATAGTGAAATCTGGAAATTACAGGACAAGGCTTGAATCGCAAAAGATGTGGTTTTATCCACAACTCTTGAGAACATCATGAACAGTGTATGTGGAACATGAGGAAGTTTTAAGGAAACGAGAAAATTCAAATAAACTGCTGTTAAACATTGGGAAAAGAATAGGTTCCACAATGACAAAGAGTAGAAATAAAAGAGCAAGAGTTACTTTAGGGACATATAATGAGGAAAGGATGTTTAGCGAAATTAACACACTAGTGCTTACCTTGTAGCTATGGTACTTGCAATAAACCAAACGATCATTTTTGCCATCTCACTAATAAATACATTAGATGAATTTGTTTACACTGAGGCTTGTTCTATTTTGATACAGGTTCGTTCGTATATACCGTAAGATTCAAGCACGTTCGTTCAACCGTAAAAGGCGACGGAAGATAATATATAAGCCGGAGACACATATATAACGAGCCGCTTTCGGTGTGTGTGTGTGTGTGTTTATTATTATTATTATTATTATTATTTGTTACTTTATGTAACACAACAAAAACAGTACGCCATAGCATAATTTATATTAGCGCAATATCATCAAATTGCTTTTAGAGAATAACCAATTTCCAATTTAATCGGGGCAATTGTCGCCAGATAATTTTAATTAAACATAAATCGGCAAAATGCATATCCAGGGGAGATAATTCTAGTTCTATTAACTGCTAAGTCCGTGTAGTTTTTCTCAGTTTTCTTCTTGAGAAAAAGTATCAAATTCAGGGAATAATCCTTAAAATATCCACGCTCGTTTTCTACGCATACCAATGACAGCGACAACTATAATAATAATAATAATTAATAGTATTATTATAATTGTTATTATTATTATTATTAACAATAATAGTAATTAATATTATTATTATAATTGTTATTATTATTATTAACATTAATAATAATAAATTTAAATATAATTAGCATTTGTAAATAACTATAATATATATAATCTTTTCAGGAAAAGTAAGTTGACAGCGAGAATAGACCGTCGGATGTGTTATTTAATGTACACATTTTAAAAGGTATATGTTAGATTGATGTAAAAATGGCGATCACGATATAGAAAGTGAGAAAAATCTTGAAAGTTTAAAGTTTCAACAGTTTTATTGCTTACTCAATTGTAGCATGCCCGACGGAAAAAAAATGGCGACAACAAAGTATCTATGAACATGGGTTCCACATTAAATGGTAGAAGGCAGGTCAACGTTTAAAGAGTTGTACACTTAAGTGTGACAGAGAAAATTGTCATTTTTTTGAGGAGACAATCAATTTTTCTGAAAAAATGAATTCATTACGACTAACTTGAGCATCTCAAATTAACAAGAATCCCCTGAAGATAAAGTTCTTCTCAACGGTTAGTAGGATAGTAAATTGATTTTTTTTTTCTTGCTAAATGCTTCTATTTGGTTGGTGCATAATTATCAGGCGTTTTTAAACAATATTTATTATGAGAAAAAGAAATATAGCAATTTAGCAATAACATTTGTAAATGAATATTCCGGAGCGTATGATTATCGACACTCGTTATTATAATGATAAATATGATAATATAAAAAGTATACAAAATAGCAGTTTTTATTAACAAATACCTCGTCTACAAAAACGCCTGATAATTACGCGCCAACCCAATATAGAGACAATATTACTAGTCATATCAATTGTTGGTAACTGGTTCCTTTGGATGACGCATTGGAAGAAAACAAAAAGATTTTTTTAGACAAGGAAGTTGATGGGATAATTTGCTACATGACAAAATTTGTTCTGGTGTTGCAAGTGCAAAGCAACAAAATCCTGATAATAAGAAGACTTAACTAAAATTAGAACCGATTTCTTTTGATTATGTCACCCAGGATTTAGCTAAAATATGGTGCAACCTATGGATTTGTATGAAGTGTATCGACACAGAAATTAGAATTGGAGAGTCGAGTTCAAATTCCGCCCTAATCAGTTGCATTCACTTTCGCAAAAATACCTTTGGGAAAGGAATGAATCGACTACTTCTCGCCCAGGGTAGACTGGGTTCTCTAGCCTTGAGTGACGACCAGTCTAGTAGAGGGAAACTTTTGAAATGACACCCAACGAGTAGGGATTCAGCAGGCTTTCTCTAGATAAGAATTCTTTTGTTACGACAACAGTATATGTGGTTCACCAACGACATTAATGCTTTTTTTTATGATTTAACCCCAAACAAGGAGATAAAGCCACAAAGACGCAATATATATGTATATATATATATGAGGCACGGTGGAGTAATGGATAGAGGCTTGGATTGAGGAATCGGAGAGCCGAGTTTGAATTCCAGTCGAATCCAGTTACATTCAGTTACGTGCTAATAACCTTGGGAAAGATATGAATGCCCTTCTTCTCCATCCAGCTATGAGTAAATAGCAGAACAGACTGGGTTCTATAGCCTTGGATGGCAACTGGTCTAGGAGAAGGACAACTCTGAATTCAAAACCTGCAGGGGGTCGTTTGGGGACCTTTTGTGGCACATATTGCACCAGGTCTCTGTATTCGGCCCTTCAAAAAGTGTGGATGGTCCTGCACGAAACCTTCACCACTATAATCAAATCTCATGTGCTGTTGTCGGGCTGTCGGTTTCCTAGGAACTGATCTGCTTGACCCTCATACGTCGAATTTCGACGGGAGAGTCGAGTATATATATATATATATATATATATATATATATATATATATATATATATATATAAAAAAACCATGAGTCTGGCGCAAGGCTATAAATATGAGGAACCCAGTTTTGATTGTACAGTAGAGCTCAATGTTAATCTTCCACTATTTCTTCATGGCTTCATACTCATCTATCAATATGTCTATGCAATCTTGTTTCTACGATGATTTATCTTTGCGTCGATCAACCTGTCTTCTGCTAAGAGCTCGTTTCCCCAGATATACAGACACACGTAAGAGCAGGCATTCAAATAACCACAGTACAACCCTAAAGAGATGTAGCTGACTCTATTTTACCCTGAATATATCCGATGTAAACTCCCATTAATCATATATAAATACACTAAGATCTGAACCAGAAGGAAAAAAATGTTGTTTTTTTTTTGTTTTTTGTTGTTGTTTTTTTGTTTTTGTGTTTTTTTTCCTTAAACGTGCATAGAATTTGAAAGAGGTAAGGGCATTTTACTCATTTTTGTGTTTGATGGACAGTTTGATAAATGGTGGACTTAGGCCTGACTTCAATACCAGGTCATTCACTGACCACGGAATCGTACAGAAAGTATAAGCGTCATTCCCAGGCGGAAAACGCAAAATTGGCGGGAAAAAAAGGAAGGTGGTGGTTGGGGGGCTGTTCAGGGAGGGAAGTCAGTTACTTTTAGGTAGAGACAGAAATGAAAGGTTATAGGTATATATGCAATTATATACAGTGTAACCCGGATATAAGAGACCCGGATATAAGAGAAACCCGGATATAAGACATATTTTCTCTGGTCCCAAATTAGAGCCTGTGTTAATGTATATAAAATAGACCAAACACGGATATAAGAGAAACCCGGATATAAGAGACTTATTCTCCGATCCCGACAACTCTCTTATATCCGGGTTACACTGTAACCTGTAATACATAAAATTATATATATATATATATATATATATATATATATATATATATATATATATATATATACAGAGAGAGAGAGAGAGAGAGAATATGTGAATATGTGGTGGGTGTTAAATTAGGATCTAGAAATCTCGACAGACTTTTAAATTTTCACAAATGGAAATGTTTCATGAAATAGATTTGATTGAAAATAGATTTGATTATGCATTTCACCATTCAAGACTTCATCAAACACGAACATGAAAGAATGAAATGTGTGCCATATATATATATATATATATATATATATATATATATATATATATATATATATATATAATATATAAACATGAATTCAAAACTTAGAGGCGACAGACTGTTTCATGCTAAACGCAATCGTCAGGCCACCTAATGGTTGCATCTAGCATGAAACAGCTTGTCGCCTCTAATGTTAACTTCAATATTCACTTTTATATTTACACACGCTCTATCTCTGATATTGAGCACTTTATTCCATAAATATATCACACCCTAAGAGTATATT